TCCGATTTCAGAGAGTGCACAAACTCCTGAAGTCCATGGTGGACTTCTAGGTCTCAATTACCTTTCTTTCATCTTATCCTTTTATGTCTTATTTTAGCAAATAAAATTCCTTTGACCATTCCAAGTATTCAGTAAATATCTGTTGCATTTAACTGATCTGTCTTCCTAGCACTGTGAATGGCCAATGCAGAATTACTAAATGATAGAACATATTTCCCCACCATGCAATAAATCAATTCAAAAAATGGTTAGAATACTTGAGGATCAACCAACTTCTCATTCCACTTCCTCTGTCCCTGAAACCTCTGTATTAATAACCTTTAGGTCTCATCTTCATGGTACCATTATCCCTGGGGATCCTAATCCGAGGATTGTCCTGAAAACCCAGATCCGAGGTTTCATAAATAATAAGGCAGCAAGTAAATTCCCAAATAATAGCCTCCAAATCCCCCCCCGCCCCCCTACACACACACACTTGTTTCTGACTTTGAGCTGGAGCTGGGAATCCATTAGATCCTCAGTAAAGGAGGAAGGCCTGGCAAAGAAGAGTGAGGCCCCTGGACCAACTGGCTGGGTATGGGGCATTCAGCCCCACTCCAGCCCACACAACACACACAGTCACGTGTGCAAAGGAGTGGAAAGCAGAGGCAAGAATCTCTAGGGTAGCTGGCTCCTTAGCTGCAACCGAAAGCGGCCAACTGAATCCATAGAGAAATCATAGTCTCTCTCCATAAAACACTAGGTTTCCTCTGGGGGCTCAAGGATTTGTCACAGGCTCGCCTCACATCTTGCCTCCCAGGAGCCAAATCTTGAGGCTTTGGAGGCAGGTAGACCGTGACCTGTAATACCCCATCTAATTGTGCTACCCAGTCTTCAGAAGAAAGAAATCCCAGCTGAGCCCTCCAGGCAATCAGTCTGAAAGTCCTAAAAATACAGCCATAAATTACCCTGGATGTCTTATTTCTAAAGAGTACATTTTAGCAGGAACATTCCTTTTGGGGCTGTAATTCTGAACTTGCTCCACATTTCTAACAGCCCTGCTGGAAAATCTCTCTTCTAATCACTAGGCTGTGCTTTTGGTGACACTGTCACTTTCCAAGTACTCACAATTCAAAATCACTTCTTATCTCCAGCAGCTCCCAAGCCGAAAGAAGATTTCTAACTGCCCGGGTCTCCCGTAGCTCAAAGATTTTCTTCCCAATTTTGTGCCTTTTCCGGGTTTTTATAAAATGATTTTGGTCTGTCCTCCCCACCCCCTTTGTTATTTCCCCTCCTCGCCCTGCTGCCTGTTTTCTAAAACTCAGGTTAAAAAGACATTAATGAGGGAGGGGGGCCAAAATACTCCTGGGCACTGTCCAACCTCATCCTACTAGTTCATCTTTACTCTGTCTTAATGAGCCTGCTGATGTTGTCACCTCTGGGGTCAAGGTGAGCCCAGGAGCTTCAGAAGGTGGCATTATAAATCCTTCTGTGACTCTCAGTGGAAGGGAGGGCATCCACTAAAGTTCAATCATAAACCTCAACAACATGGTCAATGGAGCCTCTGCCTCAAACAAACACAACGCCTCCACAACACCTGCGTTGAGCACCTGCATTACGCAGGTCTGATTCTTGAGCTGATCCTTGGCCAAAAAGAGAGCAACAGTTCCTCGGCTTGGGTAGCTACCATGTTAGCAGGGGAACACGGGCAATTACACGTGCTGATTTCGAAGAGTGCGAAGGCTCACGCATGAAAAGGGGCTGGGACAAATACAACTTGAGAAAAAGTTTCAGTGTGCTCTCTGGACAAAGGTAGTCAATCAAGGATCTGAATTTTAAGAAAAAACCAGGTCCTAGCAGGTTTGGCTCAGTGGATAGAGCGTGTCAGTCTGCGAAATGAAGGGTCCCGGGTTCTAGTCTGGTCAAGGGCCCCCACCATGGTTTCTGTGTAAGGGAGGAAGGGGAGAGAGGCCTAGGACCAGGCAGGAGAAGTAGCCAGAGGCAAGACCATATGGTACCTTGGGGGGAATACTTGCTAAGGAAAAGTATTTGCATTTCATTTGACCCGAATAAGTCATAGGAGGTTTAAGTAGAAGAGAGACATGATCTGAATTTTTCAAGCTCAAATTGATTCCATTTACATAAAATTTTAGGAAAGAAAACCCTACCATAAAAGAGGGAGGTTAGTGGCTGTCTAGGGCCAGAGGTGTGGATAGTGATTGCAAAGTGGAACAAATGAATTTGAGGAGGTTATGAAAACGTTCTATCTTGATGTGGTAATGGTTACATGGGTATATAATTTGTCAAGATTCATCAAAGTACTCTCTTAGAAGGGTACTTTTTATGTATGTATGTTTTAACGCAATAAAGTTGGGTTAAACACACACACACACACACACACACTCACACACACTCACACAGGAGACTGCCAAGTAGAGACAGGAGGGGCAGTTAGGAGCCTGTCACTTTAGGGGGAGTAGAAATCATGGTGGCTTGTCTGAGGATGGTCTCAGCATTTAGATTTTGGGGGCAGAGCAAAAGGACTTCCTAACACTGGGATGGGGTGGAGCAGGGAACACCTTGCCAAGTGCTTGGTGGAAGAGGCATTTCTAATGGTTCATTTATGACACCAGAGGACCCAGGAAAGCCTGTTCATATGATACGGCTCATTCTCTCATGTACATTTCATCTCCAACATGCACGAAAGGAGAGAGGACCACATTAAGGCGGTGGTGCAGGCCATGCGCCTTGGGCAAAATATCAGGGTGCTCCAACTTCCATAGTTAAACTAGGAAGGTGGCCCTGTTTTTCAAAATGCTGCTGAATTATGCCTCGCATAGAGAAGGTATTCAGTAATAACTGCCCCGTTTACTTACTCTGTCACTGGCTCTGTGCACTCTCTGTAACAACTGGCTCCCCACGCCCTCCGTAAGTTGCCAGTTATCAGGATAGAAGCTGAGTGGGAGGCGAATTGCAGCCCGCTTTCCTGATGCACAATGACAACCGTGATATCCTCTGCAACTAATAAGGTCACCCAGTGGCTGCTGGCATGTTCTCGAGTAGGAGGCGACTTGCCTACAGCCACGGGAGATGAACCTGCAAAGTGACTGTTCCGACTTCATGGGACACAAAAAGCAAGCTGAGTGCGGATATCGCTAAAGTCAGAATTGTATGATGACTGTGAATACTGATTCATAATTTATTTCTCTCCCTCTCCCTCTCTCCAAGCTCTTACTAAAACTAAGAGGTCTTTTCTCCAGCTTAACATACTAGTCTCTGCTTTTTGTGAATATAAATATAACTTCTGGATTGTTTTAAAGACGTTAGCATTTGATTATACTTTGTTTTGAAAATAATCTCTTCTTCCCCTTTTTCTTCATCCACTCAGTATCCATTCCTGGGTGAAGTATGGGGCAGGCACCAGCATCACTGAGGGGAGTGAAATGTAACCCTATAATCTTTCATTTACTCTAATCCCTTTCAAGCAGACCTCACAATCTGTGTAAGCAACATCCATTTTTGATCCCTCTCTCAGACCCCAACATATAATCAAATTATAAATAAATTCATGCTGATTTATTTATTCCCCAAATGTTAGATAATTAAGAGAGAGCCATACTTCAAAATAGGGGCCAGCAAACATTCTTTAAATATTTTTAAAATAATAAATAGATTAGGCTTGGTGGACCATAAAGTCCTGATATGACTACTCAACTCAGCCACTATAGCACACAGGCAATATATACATGAATAAGAATAAAAATTTATTTTAAAAAACAAGTGGTGGGCCATATTTGCCTCACAGACCATTGTTTGCCACTACCAACTTTATATAATGCAGCATAAATGAATGGAACATATCATAAAGAGTTCCAATTAAAATTCACATCAGTAGTTCTTACCCTCATTTGGGGCATAAACTCCTCTGAAAATATGAATAAGCATCTCCTCTAGAAAATACGACTGCAAAATTTTGCATTTAGTTCATCTATTCCACAGCAGAATGTATGTGTCATTTGATCTGTAACAAGTTCCTCGTAGGAAATTAAAGATGTATCTCCCCACCACAGTGGAAGCTATCAGATTCTCCCTTAAACTACAATGTGAGCTCCTCATCAGAATTCGGGGCACAACTGAACATCCTTGGAAGTGAGTAAGAAACTTTCTGCTTTTCTCTGATCTCTTTGTTCCATCTCAAAAGGCAGTCCAGTGACTCTTCTACATGCTGCCTTCATTCCTGTCCCTGTCCCCTTTGGTTCTGCAACTAAGCAAGGGACCCTGGAATCACCTCCCTCTGTTTGTTAACACCTATTTCCAGCCCCCACTGACTGGGACATTCTGCCCCAACATGAAGACTCACCAGTAAGCAGTGCACAGGGTCCCCCCTTAAATCCGTGTCCGGCGCCTGCAGCAAATGCCAGTCTCTGCCTTTGTTATAGGTGATGAACGTCTTCACTTGGTTGTCAATCTTCTTGTTAGCCAAGAACATCCCCTTTATCCCTGCTACCTGGGAAAAATGGACATGGCTGAAAAATACATCGATTTGAGAAGGGATGTCTTTGTTTACTTAAAAGAACGGAAGCAGACTTTAATTCAGCAGTGAGCACTTCAGAAGAGGGGGTGAGGATGGTAGAAGGAGGGGGTGGTGATTAAGTATAATGACTCCCTGGACAGTGAGGCAGAAAGCAACAGACCTGAGCCCCTATGGCAGTGATGGCGAACCTATGACACGCGTGTCAGAGGTGACACGCGAACTCATTTTTGTTGGTTGATTTTTCTTTGTTAAATGGCATTTAATTATATAAAATAAATATCAAAAATATAAGTCTTGTTTTACTATGGTTGTAAATATCAAAAGATTTCTATATGTGACACGGCACCGGAGTTAAGTTAGGGTTTTTCAAAATGCTGACACGCCAAGCTCAAAAGGTTCGCCATCACTGCCCTATGGTATGAGGGACCTAATGCAACTGTGATAGAGAATTTTTATGGCCCCTAAGGTAAGTTGGCAGTAGCTTGCCGTTGCCTAGAGATCAACTCTGGTGTTTTCAGTTTTGCTATTCAATAAATGATAAATAAATAGAGGTTATTTTATTTTATGTCACCCTCAGCACCCACAGTCTTAAATATGTTATTTCATTTAAATCTTGTAACAGTTCTCTTGGGTAATTATCACCTATTCTTTGTTACACATGGGGAAACTGAGGCTCATCCAGGTTAAGTGACTTGCCCAAGGTCACACAGACAAAGGAAAGACTGGGTACACAGGCTAGTAAGTGGCTGGGATTTCAACCCACAACTCTATGTCTTCACAGCCCGTGCTCTTAAGAACTATCTAAATCATGGTGCTCTCTAGAGCTGTGGGAGATTAAAAGAGGTCAGTGAAAGCTAATGATCCAATTACTATTTTTTCCCTGTAAGAGATTGCTCTACTAAGCCACCAAAATACACTGAGCAAAATATAACTGCTCTTAAATTTAAAGAAATAATAATCCCCCTAAATTGTTGGCTAATCCCTCCTCCATGCCCATAATACTATTATTCCCACTATAAACAGTCTTTATTAATTAGCTGGCTCTGAAAGTATGCCTTCTCTGTTCCTTAAGTTATGAAAGAGGTAACAATTGGTAAGTTGCCCAAACTGTGCTCTAACAAATCATTAAGGATGCATTATATCTTTGGGTGTTTTTGTGTTTATTAAACACATTCATGCATATTTCGCTCTGCTTGGAATTATGACAACCCAGGAAAACTGGAGGGCAGTGAGGAAAGGGTCTGAGATATGTTAAATTGTGCATGCCAACGCTATGCACAGGTGACCTCACTTAACTCTCACAGTAAGCACATGATACAGTTATCATTACTCACATTTTGCGGATGAGGAAACAAACAGATTAACTGGCTTTCTGTTGCACAGACAGGGATGAAGTGAATAAGCTCACGGGCATATCTGAGCCCATTTCATTTAACTCAGGCCCTTTATATTACCTTATAAAGGTTTTAGGCAGACAAGTACAACAGCATTGATCCTTGCCATGCACCAAGAAGTATGCTCAGTACTTTATATATAAATAAACTTTTGATGTTCACTGCAAATCTGCCACCACAGCTATTATACCCATTCTATGGATGGGGAAACTGAGGTGTAAACAAAAATCAATTGTTCAAGATAACAGAGCTGGGGTTCACTCACACCCAGATTTTCTGACTTTCATTGATCTTCCAACAACTACAGCTCTGAATCTGTCTGTTCAAAGAGGCTGGGTTTTAATCAATAGAGGATCCAGGGCTTGCCTTTGCTTTTGACACATTCAAACCTCATTAGCTTGTGCCTGCTGATCTGGCATCTGGGGTAATGTAGAGTTGGGCCAACTTCATACACTTTTGGAAGACAAGTGTGTTAAGCAAGTAAATCGTAGAAATGAGTGCCTGGTAGGAATGCTTTGAACTACTTAGGGCAGCAAGCCTCACTGGGGGCAATCAGCAGCAGCCAGAGCAGTTTCTTGATCCCCCACAGTGTGGAAGGCCTGCACTCCAGGAGCACTGACCTCCCAACAATGGCATGTGAATTACAAATTGCATTTAGTTATTCACTCACTATCCCAGCTCCTGAAGGGTGACTCACCAGGGAATCCCACATTGGTTTTGCATATGTTCCGGAGGCTGCTACATATTTCAATACAGCTAAACTGCCAGTTCTTTAAAAATTAAATTTCACATATCAGAATTCTCACAAAGTCGCACTGGTCTTCCCTCCTCAGCGAAACCCATACATGAGAAATGGCACTGTCTTACCCATCAGACACGCTAGGAGGTGACCATAGGCACTGAGGGGATAGAAATATCGCCTCTCCCAGGAGTTTCATTGCCCATTCCCCCTCCTGCGCTGCTTCTCCTCTTTTGGTGAGAGCAGGGCTCTGTACATGTAGCAGCTGGTTCATTTGCTTAGCAGAAGTGGTGACTTTATTGGCCCCCAACTGCTTGGCATTATCAAAGGCCATTGAGCTGAGAGCTGCGCTTTGTAACTCATCTCTGGCAGCTTGGCCTTCAGGTTTATCTTGAGGAATAAAAACCTGGCAAAGCGCAGGGAGTGTGTGACAAGAGGGGATAGAGCTGGAGAGGGTCTGCTTATCTGCCTCCTGCGGCCAGGGCACTGCTCCATGGAAGTCCCATTCGAGGTGTGTCTTTATTGTTTGCTTCTTTGGACTCGTCTGCAAGTCTTAGTTTTGTTTTTAATGTAACAGGTAATAAACATTCTGCATTGGAAGCTATAACCACAATAACAGCACCCCGGATGTAATAAGCACTTACGACATGTTAGGCATTACATGACAGGCTTTGCAAGCATGAGCATCCATCTGCCCATGCATTCTAAGTGGCAGAGTCAATGTAATCCTCATTTTACAGAGGAGAAAACCAACGTTCAGATGCGGCCAATCACTTGTCTCAAGTCATCCCCTAGGGAACCTTAGAAATGGGCTCCAAGTCAGTCTGTCTAACTCTAGAACCCATACACTTCTGTACTATTTCCTCCAACTTCTCTCTCAACCCAGAGCACTCAGAGGGAAATATCACCTGTGGCTATTACACTTACAGGAAGCTGTGTTTTATTCATTCAGTCGTACATTTATTCAATAGTTGTTCAGTAAATATTTTTGAGCTTCTATTTATCATGCATTCTTATAAGTACTGGGATCATAGCGCCCAGGGTGTCTAAACAATTATATATTCATTCAAGAGACCTTTTTTGAGAGTTAGAATATGCAAGGCTTGGATTTCTTTGGTGTTTTAACGGAAGAACCCAGTTATCCCCTTTTACTTTTCATAGTTAGCACCAGAGGGTCCTTTCCAGTCCCAATCTTTCATATGTTGCATGTGGAGGCTAAGTTGGGAAGATTCTTGCACAAAAGCTTTTGCTCTTTTCCGCCTCTGATGCTCAGATACTTCCTCCCACCCTCTCTGACTCTGACTGAAATTACAAATCCAAAGGGTCAACATGTGAAGAAAATGAAAAAGATGAATCAAAACCTGTGACAAGAAAAAGAACATATTCATGACCTTGATTTCTTTGGTCTTTGAGGATAGGATATGTTTCCCTTCTGAAGAGAAGATCCAAGAGAGACATAGTCAGCAGGGACAGGAGTGCCTCTGCCACCAGAGAACCCATTGCCAAAAAAAATCTAAATATTCTTTCCTCCCCCGGGGCCTTGGTCAGGCAGCACTCCCCTCCCAGGGAGACAATCACCTTCAATAATTAGATGGCACGTCCCATGTCCTGTAATAAATATGTCCTGGATGGGAAAGCCTTTTTCTTTCCCACCTCCTGTGCTGGATTGTATGAGGCAGTCTTTCCTTAAGAAATCAGGGTATTAGCTCCATGCCCATAACTATGGAGCTTTCTCTTTGAAAGAGAGGACACTCATAACGTGAAGAAGACCCCATGTGCTTAACAAAACATACACCGTATCTGGCATGGCACCCAGTGTGGCTCACTCATGTGCGCACGCATTCTGGGCATTCTGAATTTGCTGGCCAGGTGGCTTGACTGCCAACACAAACCTTTCCGCTTGGCTGGGTGGACTGTCATTGTCCATTAAGCCAAAGTGCTCTTCATCATCATTAATTAATATTCCCTTCCCCGAGGAGGAAGGATCTTGTCTAAAGCTGTCAGACTCCTTCTCATCATCCACACCAGATGAACACACTAGGACCCACACGCTGCAGACACGCTCGTCACAGTTCTCTTGCTCTGGTCACCATCAGGCATGCTGTCTTCTGTTAGCCGCCCACATGGTGCCACGGGAGTGCTGTGCTCTTCGTGAATGACAGGATTTTAAGACACTTGTTTCTAGGCTGCTTTTATGCAAACACATCACTGGACAACACGGGGGGGCACATTGCTATAACAATGAATTTAGCTACAGTTGCAGGCTCCGGACTTGGTTCAGAAGGTAGTGAGGTCTGGAGCAATCATCTGCTCATTCTGTTTATGTTGGCTTTTCCCCAAACCATTTCCTTGTTCCAGTCTAATTTCTTCTACTGCTAAGTCCAATACTAGTCATCCTGCCCTTCAATGTCCTTCTATCTTACAGCTTTTACTTGGTCACAATCAAATACAATCCCAAACACCTATGTTTCCAGAGACACAAAATAGTTTATAGGTAAGAGTTTGCATACTCTAGGCTTCAGATCCTAAATCCACCACTTACTATCGTTGTAATCTTGCAGAAATGATTGTACTCTCTCTGCCTGCATTTACTTATGTGTGAAATGGGAGGAATTATAGTCCCTCATATATGAATTGAATGAAATATTCACAGATGTTTTTGTACATAGTACTTGACACATAATGGCATCCAAAATATTAGTTATTGTTATTATTATTATGCTCTTTCATTAACAAAAATCAGTTTCTAGTACTCTTGCTGTGTAGCCAATGGCTCATGTTTATTGATTCTCTTGAATGGGGTCCATGTTCAATTGAATAACTCATACTGAGGGAAATGTCTGGTGTTTCCATAACTAAACCATATAATCTACCCCTGCAACACTTTATTCCCAACATTTCCCCTACTCCTATCTCATCAGATACACATGTTCTAGTGTAGAGAGAACTACATTTGTCACAAGGGTCCAATGTGTGTGGGAATAGAATGATTAATTCCTTCTGCATTTCCCACAAAGACTCATCAACAATACGTATCCTTGATACACAGACTCGTCATACACCTACACATTATAGTTTCCCTCTGCTAAACTAGTTTAAAGAGCATACAAATACAGGACTCGCAGGTAATTGGCAGGCATGCAAAGAACACATACCAAAAGTCACCACAGTTACCCCCAATGGTGAGCAGACATGTACTAGTATTCTCTTATCACCCATCACCTCCTATGCTGCTCATCTCTGCTTGTTTTTAAATCAGCTATGGATTTTCTTACATTTCATTTATCTCTAAGTGCTCATCATTCACTGTAAGTCTCCTGGGGAATTCATGCTGATTGGTTCTCAGCTTCCTGCTAGCCAGAACAGTCACACTGAAGGAACGTTGGTGCCAGGTTCTGTGTCAGCCAATATCCCTTCTAGCTAGGTAATCAGAAGATCTGGCACTGCCATTCTGATCACATCCATTTCAATTCAAGTTGCAGTGAACTGTCAGGCTAATAAAAGAAAGACTCTTCTTCCCAGCCCCAGGATGCAGAGCACCTTTACATAATGCAGTCACTCCACTGCTCACAGTGACACTAATAAGAGCCCGCAGATCCTCTATACACAGCCATCCCAGAGAGACACAAGGGGAAACACAAGGAATTACCAGAGAATGGTTGCCATGGCCAGAGGTCAACCAATGTCTTCTTCTCATTCTGTACCCGTGTTAGTGATGTTTACGTTCAGAAAACCACTTGAGCAAACAGTTTAAAATAACAGGACATTGCAAAGTCATTCCTGTCCAAACCTGTCATCTCTTCTATCATCAAGGGGCCAATTAAAATGGTGTCTATTTTTGCAGAAAACGATATTTATGCAGAGAAATTTTTCCACGTTGAGTTGAGAAGAGGGGAGGAGATAATCAGAAAGGGAAGAACTCATCCCTTGGTCATAATCAAATATAATCCCAAATACTGATGCTTCAGAAAACGTTTTTGTGGTTTGTTTTCTTTTTTCGGGGAGGAGGGGGGAGAGCCAGGACAGAGACAAGATCAGGGAATCAAGCTGCTTTGACTTCAGACCAGCAGATACCACACATGGAGCAAGAGCTTTCCATTGCAAGTGCTGGATCAAAGCAAGACAACACATGGCATTTCAACACAACACCCTTAAAGTTTAAATGTTTATAAGACATTTACAAATGAGGAAAGAACTGTAGCAATTTACACTTGTTTACAAGGAGACAACTCGTTGGTGTTAAAGAATGTCATATGGCCATGCTAATTGCAATATGGGAGAAGTAGAGATCTGAAATAGCAGAAATGTGTTAGACATTTAAACAATGTGGGCAGATTTAAAAAAAAATAGGACATCATACTGGGGCTTAAACTTATTGGAACATAATATTAATTATGCTATCTATAATTCGTTGAGTATTTTAGGCACTGCTCATAGTACTTCAAGAAGATTAACTTGTTTAATCCTCAGAGAAACCCTGTCAAGTAGGCACCCTGTTTATCTCCATATTTTCAGTAAGGAAACTGAGTATCAGGAGTTACTGGATATGTGTCAAGAATACATATCTGTGGTATAGCTGGGATTTAAACCCAGAAAACCTCACTCCAACATTCATACTCTAAGTCACAATTTTATCCAACAGTAATTTGAAACTAAATCACCAGAAAATGTAAATGTTTTCCCAAATACATGTTTAGTTTGAGGCTGAGATTTATGATACTATATTTATCTGGGACATGAGCAGAAAAGGAAGTGGAAGAAACTGTGAATATATTAAAAAAAAGTTTGCAGAGCGTTTTTCTAAAGATATACACACACTACACTCAATGCTCATCTACCACAATTTCCATGACAAATCCCCAGGCTCTGAATTGGGCATATAGTGTGTATCATGCCTTTATACATACAGAGAAGTTTAACTACTAGGAGAAAATCCCTAAGAACTCCTAGAGGAGAAAGAGTATAGATAGCATTCAGAAAATTAAAATGATAAATTTGAATTTCTTCAGAGACATTGGTTTATATCCTTGACATACTTGATATGAATTTCTCCTTATAAAACCCCTTGACCTTCAGAGCTTACACTCAGCCAAACAATAGCATCATTGTGACTGCACATATTTGAATCAGTTTTAGAATATTTTTCACATAGAATATAGGCATATGATTAAACGTTCCACATTCTGAATGTGTTTTTAAATGGGTCATTATAAGCCATTATAAATCATTCATAGCACAAGATAAGACTGACAAATGGCTAAAATCCATCCCAAAATAGCAGCTTTCTTTCTACCTAACTGTGCCTTAAATGGCAATTAGAGCATTGGTGTTTGCCATAAAAGCTAACTGATCCAACATAGAGCATTTTATTTTCAATCTTGGTCATTTTGAGAAACAAAGGGCCAGGTTCCTCTAAGGAAGCCTGGGGAACTCTGCTCTGTCCCCCTCCATCCATCATTTAGGAAAGAAAGACCTATTACTCTTATCTCACTCACTGTTCCTCTGAGAGGCAGGCAGTCAGCCAGTGAAGGTTATCTAGTTGGAAAGGTGTTCAAGTCCAAGGGAGTGTCTTCTGATGCAATGCGAAGGTGTCTCCTCCCTTATTTTCCTCAGACAGAGATAAGGAACCACTGTCCCCTTTGCTCTACATCAGCGGTTCTCAACCTGTGGGTCGCGACCCCTTTGGGGGTCGAACGACCCTTTCACAGGGTCGCCTAAGACCATCGGAAAACACATATATAATTATATATTGTTTTTGTGATTAATCACTATGCTTTAATTATGTTCAATTTGTAACAATGAAATTGGGGGTCACCACAACATGAGGAACTGTCTTAAAGGGTCGCAGCATTAGGAAGGCTGAGAACCACTGGTCTACATCCTGATACCCTGCTGGCCTCTCAAGACTATTTTCAAATTGCATACTCTGTGAATCTTGTTGGAATCCTTCTTTTTAAATATATATATATATTTTTATTGATTCCAGGAATTGGTTGTATGTGACCTCCTGGTTCATGAGGTCACATACAACCACTGACATGCAACAGCATCCAGGCTCTTGTTCAAACCCTTTAATTGCTTTACCGCTTCCCCTGATGCTCTCCAAGTCCTCTGGTGCTTCCTGGCCTGTGAACTTGGTGAACAAAAGATCCTTCCCAGAGCTGTTCTGTGGGTTGCATTACAAATGTTCTGCAACTCACTCCCTCTCCCAAATTGAATGAGGCCACATAACTTGCTCATATCAAAATGATGAAGGAAACAGCCAATTGGGCCTTCATTAGCCAGTGCAGGCACTGGAGTGGCTCAGGACCACACGTGCCTTGTGACATACCTCATAGAGGTCGATCATGACATTGCCCTCAGGGCCTCTGCTGCTCTGGACATTCTCCAAGGCCAAGGTGAAATAGACACCCCTGGTGTCTGAGATGTAGAGGTTGTAGGTGTCGTTTTGGTTCCATTCTTGGACCGCTGCAAACACTTGATTCTCATCTGTGCTGATGACGTGCATGTCCTAAATAAAACACAGGAAAGTGAAGAAGAATTTTATAAATAAATCTGACATGCATCCAAAGAGCGTAGAATCTAATGAGGAATACCAAAATAGGCACTTAGGCAACGATAAGGGAAGGTAGAGATTTTCCTTTCACATATTTGTGATGTAATAATTAATTAGTTAAGTGTTATTTATGTATTTCCTTTCTCTTGTATGGGGTTAGGCAGTAGTGTTATGAGACAATAGGACAGAAAGATGCTTGGTAGCTCAGTTATGATTTGTCTCATTAGATCATTGAAGAATACTTTCTCAAATATGTATGACTTTGGAGAATCAGTCATTCTGATATATTTGTCAACCACAACATGGTTCATGCTCAGAAGTATTATATGGAGATTATTCCTTCATAAAAATCTGACAAGCTCTGCATATTCCAGTGTGGTCCATGGACCATTATGGGCATCATCTGCAAGTGTGTTAGACACACAGAACTTCGAGTTTCACCTATTGAATCAAAAATCTGCATTTTAATAAGATCCATGGGTGATTAATATGCACAATAAAATTTGAGAAGCACTTCACAAAGGTTCAGCAACCCCCGGAAGACCTTGAGGAATAATATTCACCTGAGGAAGCAAAGCACTAATATTTATGTTAATGTGTGTTCAAGGACTTAGCTGCTTATCTAAACCTTTACTCTGAGTTCAGCAGAAAACCTTAAGTAAAAGAAGAAAAAAAAGAGACTGCATAATTGATGATGTTTTCATACCCTGGTAGTCCTGGAAGATAAAAAGAAGGCAAAAGTAATGTGGGGGCAGTGAGCAGATGTCCCTGGGGTGGGAATTTCAATTCCTTCTTCCCCTATTCTGAACTCCAGAGAAGTGGGTGTTCAGAGAAAAGCAGATACAGACCAAGGCTTGCTGTCTCCCTTAGGAGATGTCTGTCCATGTGCTGTTTGCCCAAGGTGGTAGACATTGATATAACTTTCAAAAACCAAAAATCAAAGCAAAACAACAAAATTATACACAAGCACAAAGAACAACAAGGAAAGATTCTTGGCTTTTGTGTAGCTTAGTACTCAAGTTTTCCTAGATAAACCTTCCTCTACCCTTGAAAAGCTTTAGGAGATCTGTCAATCTTCCTTGGTCAAAATTCCAGTACAGCAAAATTCTACCTACCTTCTAACCTGATTTTCTCCTTATATGTCTCTGTTCTCTCAATCAACCAACCAATCATTCAACCAATCAGCAATTCAGCTCTGACTGTGCTTTAGACATAGAGGAACAGCCTTGATCAAAGTGAAATCAAATGAGTCCGGAAGGAAGAAGTCTTTATCTATAGAGCTTTGCATTCCTCAGGCCTAGAGTTTGGTTAAGCTTTTGTAGAATTAACCCAGAGTTGGAAGGCCAAAATAATCCCTTCCCATTGAATCAATGTAATCAAGAACACAAACTAAATTTTGGAATAAAAGTGGGCCATTGCATGTATCTATCCAATGTCTATTTATATTTCTTCTGATAATTGTATCTCAATCTACTTTGAAAAACATGCTCATCCCTCTCAGACAAATTCCTTTTTAACCCAGTTTCTTGTTTTCTTTCACCCTCAGCACCAGACGTGGGTTGGTAGGCCCAGCATTCAGAATATCTAATTTCCCTGATGATAGCAACTTGATCAGTGTTGAATATATGACTTATGCAAAATCAATAACACATGAATCTGGAACGAAGCTGGGACTATTAGAGTGGGGGGGAAGCATCTCTTACTATTGGTTTGTAAATAGTAAGAATTTTCTAAAGTCTGGATCTGATGAAGACATATTTTTTGAGGTAGAAGATGAAGTCAATCCTGAAGAAAATAGTCTAGAAAGGTAGAGAAGAGAGGCCAAATTCTGTGACATTCTTTGTCTTTGACTGTGGACAACTTAAAAGCCTGCCCCACCTGTAAAGTTTTGGGTTCAAGAGGACAATAGAGCAAAATTATTATAAAAAATGGATTCTGAAATAAACTGTTTGAGTCCAAATCTGGGCTCTGTAACTTAACTATGAACTGAACTCTGTGCCTCAGGAGTTCTTGTGGGCCTTCCATGGACCTGGGTGGGGTGTGGGGGAGGGAATTACATTAGCTAGGGAGTTCAAAGCACTGAATATCTGCTCCACTTGCCAGTGATTTTCAGATAAGCACGACTTTACATCCCCTTTGATGATTAAGCAAGGTCCATGTGGCCTTCCTATTCACAGCCAAAGCTAGGGTGCTCACTAACATACTCTACAAAAATTGGTTCACCCAAGGGTTTTGTTCCTTTCCAATGGAGGGAATTAGCTGTGGAAATTATGCCAGGGCCAGTCAAACATGGAGAGCAAAACCTTCTATGGCTCCCCATTTCCTATAGGATAAAGACCACTTGAAGCCATACGCTGGTATTTAGAATCCTCAAATAACTACACCCAATCTAAGTTCCCTTCCATGTCATTGGGATACACTGTCATCTCTCCATTCAAGTTAAGGTACATCGGCAATAGCCTGGCCCCTACAAAACTCATTCCTGTGCCTTTGGAGTCAAAGTGAAACTCTGAAGTCTGGGTCACAGAGAAATCTCATTAAATAATCGCAGGGGCTACAGTACATCCTCTATACTATGCCACACACTTGAACCTTTAGTTTTTGGATGTTGAACTGAAAACGTGAGAGATAGAGAGAAACATCAATGTGAGAGAGAAACATTGACTGATTGCCTCATGTACACACCCTGGCTAGGGAACGAACCCACAACCTAGGTATGTGTACTGACCGGGATTTGAACAGGTGACCATTCAGTGCATGGGGTGATGCTCAACCAACTGAACCGCACTGGCCAGAATCTTTGAATTTTTTTTTAAATGATGTTGGTCTTAAATATTTTAATTGGAAGATTTGACATATTTAAATGACATCTTCATTATTTCTTCATACCTACATCCACCTCCTCTATCAGGAAAACATGCTCTTTCGCTCTTTCTCCCAGGTAGATGTTATGTTGAATGCTTTTCCTGAACCACAGAATTACAGACCTAGAAGTGATCCTAGAGATCTTCTACTACAGTCCTTCCCAAAGTCTGTTCCGTAGGAAAGTAGCATTGTTAGATTTTTAATAGATTAAAAAATGGGTCCTTCGGTAAAATGGTTTGATTTATGCTGAATTACTAGTATATAAGTTTCTTGTTAACAAGATGTCCTAGACCTAGAGCCTTCAACATACCAGCTAGCTACTGTTACTCTCTGGTCAAGGAACAAAGAATAGATTTTATATCTTTTTTTAAAATGTATTTGGTCACAGAATCAAATTTTCATGAATCATCTCTAAGGACATTTTATTTTGAGTATCACAGGTGAGAACATATGGTCCTGAGTCCAAACTCCTTCTTTTAAAAAAATGTAAGAAAGAACACAAACAAAAACAGGGAAAGAGAAATTGGTAAACCAGCCGGGTTTCAAAGCAGGGCAGTGGCAGATGTAGGTCTGGAATTCTGTTCTTCTGCTGTGAATCTGACAGCCTTTGCACAACCCAGACCCCAGTTCGCATCGATCTTCGACCACACAGACAACTAGATCCATACTAATAATAATATTACCTTGCTTTTATAGAGTATCTGTCCTCCAAAATGCTCAGAGCACTTTCATATGTATTGCCTCATTTATCTCACTTGAGTAGCTCAGAATGAGCTCCAAGTAAGTTAAGGGAAGGAAACTGCCGCTGTCTCTCCCTGTCTGGTGAGACTCATGCTCTTCGTGGTGACAGCAATATTAGACTCTTCCCCTCCCCCTCTCTGGTCATCTTTACCATTATATTAAACCTGCATGTGTGTGTTTTTGACACAGCTCTGCATAACCATGGTGTTTCAAGAGCTGACACAATGGCAGTGGATGATCATTTGAGCACAAAAGTGCTGGTTTGTCTCAATTGCTTTGGGGGAGCACAAAGCTTTGTTCATTTCCAGTCACAGCAGCCCTGGCTTTGATAGAGGGCCGTGAAATATTCGCACCGTCACTACGGATCACCCCACCAAGCGGGCTCTTTGAAGGGGTAATGGGACTGTAATGAGGCATCTCATTGCCTTAAATAGTACACACCCACTTGGGCCAAAGAATACATTCATTTTCTATACGGGGACGAGCTAAATGAATCACTACCCTCAAATGAATCATTACCCTCTACCCTCAGAGCTCTGGCCAGGCTGAGTAATGGGACAGGCTCATGTGGGAGAACAGGGGGAGGAGACAGATAGCCGATTCATGTGTAAAGAAAAAACTTGTCCTTGTAGATTGGCTCCATGCCACCGGGGGCAACTGCCACCAGTGATCTGCGTGATGGCTCTGAACGAGAAATGCAAGGAGTGTGTTTCCTCACATTCTCCAATAGGTGCAAGCAAGGATGTTTCTTTGAATTTAAACTACCATTTCTGGGGTTCCTCGGGTCAAAGGGAATATTTTTCTTGATGTTCTCAGCTGATCAAAATTGGGGGAGGGGGGAAATACTACTATCTTCCAATAATAGAATACATTAATTTATCCCAAGAAAAGAAAGGTATAATACAAAATATGCTAGTTTGGGAGTCTGGAGACTTAAGCTCTAGCCTCAATGCTGCTTCAAATAGAATTTCGTTTGGCTGAGACTTATTCCACTTAAAAAAATGTATTTCTAACAGTGAGCATGAGATGAGTGACTTGAATCTGCTATTTACTAATTTCATCTCAATTCCCTCATGCATTTTGAACAAGAGTATCTCATTGCATTGCGTATAATTCTCCCCTTTAAAGGTGTTAAATCTTGTAAGCCAACTGCTTTAGTTGCTGGTCAATCAAAGAAACAGCAATTGATTTCCATGCTCAAGAGACAGGAAAATCAGGTCTGTTGGACTTAGTGAGGTACCATGTTCACCTCCCTCAAGGGCCTTTCTAAGAGATTAGCAAGGGCAATTTTAAGAACACTCGCCCTAACCGGTTTGGCTCAGTGGATAGAGCATTGGCCTACGGACTGAAAGGTCCCAGGTTCGATTCTGACCAAGGGCATGTACCTTGGTTGCAGGCACATCCCCAGTTGTGTGTGTGCAGGAGGCAGCTGATCAATGTTTCTCTCTCATCAATGTTTCTAACTCTCTATCCCTCTCCCTTCCTCTCTGTGAAAAATCAATAAAATATATATTTTAAAAAAAAGAACACTCAGTTTCCCTTTACATACTGACTTTACCCAATTCTCATGTAGGCACATCTCAAAGCTGTAAGCTCTTGTCTCTTTGGTAACAATTTTAAGCCAAATCAAGAGCAAGGAGGATTTAAATGTACATAGGTAGAGACATATAGTTAGTTCTGGGCAATTACCACTGTCATGAATCTCTTAGCAGCTGAACATAATAACTACTAACATGAATATAGTTCTTGGCAGTTAATAGCGCAATTTAATGTGTATTATTATCTCTAATGGGCTGAGGTTTACAGCTCACCTTTCACGATGCTAGGGGTAAGGACAGAGTGATGGCCAGAAGGGAGAATTCTGCCTGGAGAAGCCAGAGCAACTAGCTACCATTGGCTCTCCCACAAGAGGAGCTCTGCAATGCCCTTGTGCTATATCTGTCACCTGATTTCCTGGGCAGCGCACTGGTGTTAGGTCAGACAAGCATACTACAAAGTTATGGATTAAAAATACTAGAGTCATAAAAACTCCATCAACAGAAAGTGCTTTATGTACTTTGTTCAACCCAAAGGTTTCAAAGTTGAGCTGTAACTATATTTACACAGTCTCTGTCTTATAGCCACACACCTCTGTTGCTCTAAAATCAAGGTCCAATGCATTAAGAATTTATGGCCACTTTTAGTACACACCATGGCAGCAAGACCGCAGGTCTGAAACTCTGAGCTCCCAAGTCAGCTTGGCCTCCACTAGGTGGTGCTCCATATTAACGCAGTGCCTCAGAGTGTGTGGAAAGAGCCGGGGACTTGCACAGATGAGGGTCTCTAACTCTTATCAGCCACTGTTTAGAAAGGCATCTGTCTTTGGGGCAGTCTGAAAAATTAGCTGTGACTCAAAACTCTAAAGACCACCTGTCTCAAGTTCCATTGAAAGAGAAAGCAAAGGTTGGATACCATATAGGTGTGTCGCCTCTAAATAATTAATAAGAAAAATAATTGAGATGGAAACATTATCATACCCATTGCACTGAAACACTGTGTATCCCAAGTGTATTTTCTGTCTTGCTAGAAAACCAATACCTACTGCTTGAAAACCTTTACTATTGAAAAGCAAAAGCAAATCAGTTATCAATTTATTTATTCAGATGCTCCTATAGGATGAGAGAGAGAGAGAGGCATGGAGAAAGAGAAAGGGAGAGGGAGAGAGAGAGAGAGAGAATTTGAGTGTGTGAGAGAGAGAGAGAGAGAGAGAGAGAGAGAGAATATGCTGAGGAAGGATAGTGATTAAGATTGGCAAAAAAAAAATAGTGACGCCAAATGAACTTGAGAAACAGAGATGGTAGATGAAAATAAACACATGACAATGAGAGATGGAAAGATGCTTGGGAAAGAGGGAGGCGGCAGGACTATGGGAATCAGAGGAAACACTAAAATGAAAAACAATTCCGGTCATACCTTGGGCAGAGCGTACTTGGGCAGCTTCATCTGGGCAAACGCATTCCTTCGGTAGGACACGTAGTAATGCGGCCGTCCTCCCGACGTCAGCTGGACCAGAAACACACAGTTGTAAGAGGAGCTACTGTAACAGTTACAGGCCCTGGAAGAACAGCCACTAAACAAAAGGAGGTCGCTGCCAACACATCAGTGTGAATGACTACCGTGGACAAGTGTCAGGAATTGGCTTTCAGTTCAAAAACGACTTAAACAGTGCATGTGAGTTGGTCAGAGGCCCAGATGGAACCCACTGGACAAAAATACAATTCTTCAATTTGCGCTGTGGCTCAGAAGCCAGGAAACATTGTCAGTGATTATGAACTTTCAAAGATACAAGCCTCGAGGGATATTGGATCAATGTCCATGAACAGCCCAGCTATCTAGCCCCAAGACTATGGCCATGCAGACAGGTCCCCAGTCATATCGGAAGGAAGCGGTCCAGGTCTCACATCTCTGGGCACTGATTCCAGTGTGTGGCTGTGACATTGACGGCTGTGAGCACGTCCAACACACAGCAGGGCTGACCCGTTAGATGGTTTAGAGAGCTCTATCTCTGAGAATTGATTCTGAGCAACCTTCCCAAGTTTGTGCAGCACACAGAGTCCAATGAACTCCATGAGTGTGAGGGAGGGAGAGTAGGGTATGGTATCGACCTTGGCATGAGGCCCATTCAGTACAGTGTATTAAGGGTGCCACTGCCAATCTCTCTCTCCGTTGTCACTCCTTTTCCCCCAGCTTTATTGAGATATTATTGACATACACCAGCAATTTTCAACCAGTATTCCCACCACATTTTAAAAATATGCAATACCTGACTATTTAGTCAGGGGCACTGACCTCTTTTCCCTTTGATTTTCAAATTAAAAAATGACAACAGCCAACACAACAGTAGCTATATCCGCTGTGAATGAGTCATAATTTTACCTAATTTTTATCAGGTCTGCAAAAAATATATTTTTTGTGTCTCAGAATGAAAAAGGTTGAAAATCGCTGACATATATAAGGGTGACATGTAAAATGTGATGATTTGGTACATATATATTGCATAGAATAATTACCACAAATAAAGTTAGTTAATACCTCCATGCCTTCACTTAAGTAAGATTATTGTATGTATGGATGGATACCATTTAAGCTCTTAATTACTTTCAAGTGTGCAATACAGTATCATTATGTATAGTCACTATGCTCTATAGTAGATCCCAGAACTTAGTCATCTTATAGTTGGAAGTTTGTATCCTTGACCAACATCTCCCCATTTCCCTACTTCCTAGACCCTGGAAACCATTAATCTACTCTATTTTTGAGTTCCTATAGCCGCTCTTAAACCATATAAGCCTCTGGGGTTTGAATGTCAACTGGAGTTTGCATACTCAGAATGCCAACATATGCTTTGGGTGACTGTTCACCAGACACATAAAAACATAACTAAAATGTTCATCAATATGTGGCCAGATCACCTACTCCTCCCAGTGATGAGCTGAAGGGTCACGTTCACAGTGGCATGGGTAGAAAAATAAGAAAAACTCTAAATGCAGAACTGATTCCCATATGTAAGTCATACATGTAGATTATAAATGGTTATTAGGAAACAGAAAAAAAAGTTCCAGGAAGTAACCATGATAGAGAAATAAATTAGAGAGAGAACCAATGTGTGTAACCATTTCAACGTCACTTGATAATTGATGCTGAAGTTATCAGAGTACTCATTACTCATTTCCCTGAAGAAAAAGAAAATGTGTGTGTGTGTGTGTGTGTGTAATCATTTGTGAAACATTTTTAAAGTACATAGGCTGATGTTAGGTATTTTGAACATTTACTTGCTTCCTTAAATCATTGGATTAAATATTCTAAATTATGGTTTCTTTCTAAAATATAATAGTGTGGATCATGCTTAGTGAAATCATAAGTATTTGTGTGTGTAAGTATAAATATATATGTATATATAGAGAGAAACACACACACACACACACACATTAGCAATTATACCTTTACCATTTTTAACATGGAAAGAAAGAACTGAATTTTTCACAGCATTGTCCAAATAAGCCGAAGATGTTCCTTAAAAGCTGATAAGAAGTAAAGCATACTTGCTTCCTGTCTCTTCTAAACACTCATGAAACCTCAGCTACTCAAGCTGTTCCCACTCTCTGAGGAGGTGCCAAGCCTGTCTGAATACATCTCATCTAAATTCGCTTCATCCTAATCACAGTCAGGGCACGACAATAATGGCTGATTACTACCACCTTTTCTCTGCTCCCACCACCTCCAGCCACCCCACTGCTTCACCTTCCTAGCTGCCTCTCTATTTTTAAACTGGATATTGGGGAGGATGCTGATGGGCTGGCCATTCTCCTGGTAGGAAGAGATGGACATTTCTGCTCAGCCCCGCTGCTGGCTGCTGGTTGCTGGCTGCTGGGAGCTCCTCAGAATGCAGATGAGAGGGATGAACAGCACTCTGCGCTGTGCCTCCCTGACCCCTGACCCCTGACCCCTGACCCGGGCTGATAAGGTCCTCCACACACTGCCCAAAGGAACTCATTAATATTCTGTTAGTAGAGGAGATCTGATGCGTGGTAATGTTCCTTTTGTTGAAAAGATAATGCTTTTAGTTCTTTTTCCGGAAGCAGGCAAACGGGGCTGCATTAGGGACAGAAAAAGGAAAAGGTCTTTGAGACAATCAGTAGAAGTGGATCTTTCCCACCTGAACAAACACGTAATCATCCTGCACAATCAAGGAGTCCGGGTCAATGTAGCCCGGGAAAGGTCTATTTCTGTTGGCCTCGGTGCAGTTCTGCATGCGGCAAGTCAGGTATTGCGAATCTGGAAAAAAAACAGAGGAGGGTGATATGCACACAGAGAATTCGAGTCTGAGTGTATATTTTCTATTGCCCTTGCTACCTCCAAGTATTTAAATAAACCTCACATTCCCTGTTAACCACATTATTGTTGTCATAATCATTGTTATCATCGCTGTCATTACGATTTTACTCACTTGCTATCAACCCACTACGCTGTTTCCCAGTGCCTATGCCATCCTAAACACTAAATTCTCCTTAATTCATTTCTTTCCCATTTAAACCAAATGAAAGTATTTTCAAAAACTGGCAATAATACTTGAGCTTTCTTTTCATTTTACTGATTTCAGAGAGAAGAAGGGAGAGGATGAGAGAGATAGAAACATCAATGAAATAAAAAGAATCATTGATTGGCTGCCTCCTGCAAGCCCCCTACAATAAGGGATCGAAGCCCACAAACCCAGCATGTGCCTCGACCAGAATCAAATAGCAACCTTCCAGTTCAAGGGTTAATGCTCAACCACTGAACAACACTGGCCGAACAATAGTTATGCTTTCATAGTATATTTTCTCACTAGGCTTCACTGCCACACTTTGACCTCTGATTAACAAACAGGGAAATACATACCTATATATGCAATCATCCATCATCTCACACTAGAAGTGCTGCTGTCATAAATAAGAAGGCTCTATGTCAAGATAAAGGTTTCATTCTACTACTAATTGGAAGTGAAACAGAATACAGAAGGGATTCCTGAGTCAAAAACTTTGTTCTCATCTTGTAGATGAATTAAGACCTCGACTTCCATCTAAGTCTCTAAGCCAGATGATAAACATATAATAACTCATAATTTTGACCTTTGTTGGACATATATTGTATCAGGGAGGCTGTCCTTGCTTTCAACCACAACTATTCTATTCTCTCTACTATTCAGATGTCACTTGGTTATTTAAAACTCCTTTGGCCTCCTTGACTTTAGAATAAATTCAAACCCTCCACTATCTACCGACACAACCTCCCCTCATGCTAATCCCTTCTTCCCGCAACTGTGATTCTTCTAATCTGTCCTACTTTATGTTCAGAAAGTGGGCCAAACTTCCTACCACTTTATTTTCATTTGTATTTCCTCTACTTGAAATGTTCCTCCTGCCTTGACCTGTGTTTGCAGTAGTTAGAGTGTTGGCCTGCGCACAATAGGTCTCAGGTTTTATTTCAGGTCAAAGGCACATACCTGGATTGCATTACATTACTGGCACATAGTAGGCAATAAATATTCATTGAAACATACCTCTTTATTGGAATGTATCTTTTTGAATGAAAAAGAAAGTCATTTTACTTTGTTGATGCTTAATGAATTTGATTTTAACACATCAGTGATGTATGCAAAAATCCTTTCTTTCAAATAAATCAAAATATATTTATTTACATGAAATGGGGGTAGCAATACCATATACAGTTGGATATAAGGGTTCACTAATTTCCTTTAATTAAAGTTCCAGGACGTTTACTGAAGGAACCTGGGTATCCCTGAATTCCGCCAGGAGAGTCACGAGGTAGCGGCCAGCACGTGCTCCATCTGAACAGTGACTGATGAAGGAAAGCTTTACCCTCAACCTTCCTCCATCTGGCTGCCACATGCATAAATGACAAATGGGGATAGCTCTCAAGTCGTTTAATCCATCTACTTCTGCTGAAATCAGTTCCAATGATAAACTAAAGAAAAGCCTTCTACTGATCCTTTCCTATCCTCTTTTACAGACATTATAATAGTTCCATTTTAGGGCATAACTCAAGGTCTTTGTCCTTGAAGACAATTTCTGGGACTTAACCCTTCCAAGAACAATCCTCCTCACAGCACACAAAATCTCTACCTCACAATTTCACACTCCACCAGACCCTTTTACAATTTTTAATTGACTTCTGTTTTTCAAAGGTAGCTTGGGGTCATAGAAACAATGGAAATTGGTGACTATGAGACTTGGGCTTAAGTTCTGTTCTGGTGTGGTTACTTATTAGCTGCATAGTTCAAAGGAAATCATAGTCTTCTTGAATCTTGCCACCTTCATTCCTAATGGAGATGCCAATGTCAACTATCTTGTAGTGTGGCTGTAAGAATTAACTGAAATAAATAAAACATATGCTAAATGTTTTGAAATTTGTTCAAAGGCCAGTTGTTATTAATATTGATAAAATTCCTGCTTTCTCTTTTGCTCTCTTTCACAAATATTATATCAGTCTTCGGCACATAGAAGGTCCTTTAAAAGACTGGTTGAACTGGATTTGAGTACTCTTGCTATATCTCTGCATCAGATACTGTTGGTGTCCAATACCCATTCCTCTCTGTTTCTTTGCTGGAAAAGCCAAAATGGATTTGTTGGCTCCACCTTTCTCCATGTGATTCAGAAGTTCCTATAATTCTGTTGGGTATATTCCCATTCAAGGTCTACCTACTTTCTCACCACTGGTTGGTTTAGGAAGGGACATTTAAATGCAGATCTAGTAAACAAAAAGTGAGGGAGTTCCTTTAAGGAGCTGCTATTAAAATCTTGTTTCTAAAGGGTATATAAGGTGTTACAGAAATGCTTAATATAGTTTACATTATAAACAGAGGTTACTAATTACTAATGTTTTATCACTGTTCATTTTTTAGTTTTAAAAAATAGACCATGGTTGTATAAGATGTTAACATTAGGAGAAGCTGGGTAAAGCTGTACTGTCTTGGGAACTTTTCTGTTTATTTAAATTTATTCCAAAATAAAAGTTTCATAAAAGTAGGTTACCAAAATATGTGCATATGGACCCGATTTTATGCCAGGTGTATATATAGATATCTATAGATGTATGTTTGCACAGGAAAAATGAATAAAAGATGTATGTGAAATGTCAACAATAGTATAGAGGCAGCGACGTGAGAGAGGCAGACAACCTGCATACAAGTCTCTGGTCAGTACCCCTCACCTGGGTCGGGTAGGAGGTCGTGGGGGCTTGCTGCAATGAGCCCATCCTTAGGCTGACTGAACAAAATGTACAACTGGGTGATGCAACAAAAGCCCCAGGAAGCGGTCTGGAGAGCATTTGTTGCTCAGAGTGAAATCTCAAGCCCAAGGGCAAGGCTCAGTGTCGCACTGCCTGCCTTGGTCAAGTGCTCTGGTTCCTTCCCTTTCCCCTCCTAAGGGCAACAGAAAGAAGCTGGCTGCGTTTCCTAACCAGGGACCAATCGCTCTCACTCCCCTCCCCTCGGGCTGGCGGTGATAGCATTAAGTATGATGAACTCTTTTCATATTCAATTCCAGGGAGTGCATGATGTGATTCCATAGGAAGTATCGTGTAATTTGGCATTAATTAACGTCAATTAATGTATGCAACTGCTCGACTTTAGAATTAATTTCATTACTTTCCCCACACAGATGTTTTCCTTGCCGTAGGTAATTAGGACACAGCGCGGCTCTTTTCAAGCATTCTTGCTCTGCAACAGCTGCTGTTTGGAATAATGGAATTCCCCATCCTCCCAAATGCGTGAGGATCTAAAGGAAGCTGCCTTTGACAGGCCAGGCTTGGAGCGGAGGAGCAAAGGTTTAGCTGCAACCTCAGAGCCTGCTTGCTTGGTAAACCCAAGCAAACACTTGGCCTCTTTAAACTCTGATCTGTGAAGTGGGGATAAAGAAGAGCCATCATGCCAGGGGCTGTGACACTTGTAATAAGTATGTTCGGTCCAGTGCGTGGCTGGACTGTGCTTAAACAGGTGCCTGTAGTTATTGAAGTCCTCCCTCTTCCATTACTAGGACTGCTCACTGTGTCTCAAGGGAACCAACTGCAAAGTATAGAACAGACATTTCTACCGGAGTCAATATTTGGTTTAGGTTAAAGTTTTCTTAAGTAACTTTTCAAAAAGCCATGAAAAATATCCTCCTTGAATAATGAATAGGTAGCAACTATGCTGGGCAGGCAGTGTAAGGTGGGGGCCAGGGCAGAACTGGACGTGACCTTGGTGACCAGCGCATGGGCCAGGCTGCCTGCGCCGTGTTGCCCTGCGTGCCCTCCCTCCTGCTGTAGTGATGTTCTAGATCCCACCTCTATCTCCAACAAACTGTGTGACTCTGCAGTCACTGACTAAGCGATATAATGAAGGTTATTAGAGTTTTAGAACTAAAAAAGGATGTCAAAACCAGACTATCACTTTACGCCCTGACAGGTCTTTATTGTGCTTTATCCCTTAAAACCTGTTTCCTTCCATTCCTGCCCAGAAAAAACTCCCTGATGCTGGCAAGTCTGTGACTTCAGGCCTTCTGCTATGTCTAAACAGCGTGTCCATTCCAGGCTGAGACTCTATGCTCATTCACAGAGTTCCCCCAGTTTGATCTGTCTTTTCTGGTCCTGTTGCCCTGTCCATATCCTTCCTGGGTCTTCTACTGCAGAGTTTCTCCTGAAGCTCAGGCAGACCTCTCCCTTCCCAGCCTGCCTCCACTGATGGCATCTGCAGTAGCATTAACCTCCGGATTAACAAAGGACCTCTACTCTGGGTCAGGAACTATTCTAAATAGAGCACTTGCTTTTTCTTTTGTAACTTCACCAAAAATTGCACTTCAGACGTAGGGATGAGATTTGTAGAAGCCCATATGCTAGTAAATGACAGAGCAGAAACTATATCTCACAGATCTCCACGACTCTATCCATTGATTCTCTCAGTCAACAAATCTTTAGTTAGCACCAATTCTTTCCATATGCTTTAATACTGTAAAAGGTTAATTTCAAACAAAACCATCAACTGTGTAGGCAAGCATGAGTACTATGAAGCTCCCTCCACAACCCATTAATTTTTAACTTTAAGGAGAACATACCTCTGCAGATAAATCTTTTTGTTCGTTCTATGGTTCTATTGTTTGTTTTAGAACATTCTTATTAAAACGTTCCCACCCAACACACGCAGGTGTGCATGCATGTGGGCACACAGGTGTCGACATGCTTGTGCTCATTCCCGTCAAGGCCCTAGAGCCCTCTCTGGCATGTGCCTGTTAGAAACTGAG